GACAGGGTTTCTCTGTGTAGCCCTGGCTGTCCTGGAACTCACTCTGTAGACCAGGCTAGCCTCGAACTCTCGAACTCAGAAATCCGCCTGCCTCTGCCTCCCAAGTGCTGGGATTAAAGGCGTGCGCCACCACCGCCCGGCTTAGCTTATACAAGTTTTAATGCACACTGAAACTCACCTGATTGACCTGCAGCCTTGGACCAAGGTTTGTGTATATCTCTTTAAGGAGATCAATAGCTCGGCAGGCAATATCATCATTACTCTGAATTACAACCTATATTAAAAAAAATAATATTCTCAAGAAATGTTTCACTGGGCATTTACATTCAAATCATAGCCTTAGTTATTTTCAACACACTAGTCAACATAATGGTTGACTAAGTAAATGAGACAAATGAATCAAAGAATAAATGCAACTTTTTAAATTTACTCCAAATAAAATACAGTTTCACCAAAGCGTGGGGCTTTCTAGGAGGAATTTAAACTAGTTAGAAAAAAGCAAGATGCTATTTGAATACAGATTAGTATAAAAAAAATTCTCCCTTCTTTAAGTTCTATAATATTTATAATTCACACCTATTCATATTGGTGGTTTTCAAACTCTGTTCTACATTCTATAGTGTTTAGATGAAATGTGTCACGGCTGATCCCTGTAAAGAGGTTTGGAGAAAGCAAGATTAAGAAGCCTGGAGACAAAGAACAAAAATACACAACACAGGCTTTCTCTATTCAACTATGTTTACATTCTACATTATCATGTAAAGTTTAATCATTGCTGCGATTATTATTATTATTATTATTAGTCAGGATCTCATTCTGTATTTGTAGCCTCAGGCAGGCCTAGAACTCTACCTTTCAAATATGTACAACCCACTCATTTTATCTGAAGTGCAAATTTGGATTTGGAAAAGGGTTTGCAACATTAAAATATGCACTGGAGACTGAAACTGGGGCTTAATTTACGCATAAGTATGTACTGCCTTTCAAGCCCTTTCATTGCTTATAAAACAAACAGACAAATAAACAAACAAATACCCTAAAACTCCAAACTTTACTTATTTGAAAAGTGTTAAGTACTCAAATACCACATGAAATACCTTGGTATATGTAAATGATTTGCAGATATCTAAACATAAGTTAACAGAAGCAGCTATATATAACCAACCTAAGTTTTAATGATAGAAATATAAAATATCATAAAAGACACTTTACCCTTCAATAGACCAACATTATACTTTTCTAGATTTAAAAGAATGTTAAACAATGCTAGTAAGGAACACACAAATGCAAGATAATGATAAATCCCAGACTCCTGAGACAAGCATCAGAGAACACATTTATAGTTTATATGGCACAACATTTTTAATTAGTTACTTATTCATACAACAACAAGTACAATGTTGACAGAGCTCCTATTTTTGACTTACCCTCCAAAGATAGTCTAATCCTATCAATTCCAAATCATCCATCATATATGCTCTTCTTTTTGCTACCAGTTTTCCTTCTCGACAATTCACAGCTTTGAAGAATCTCTCAAAACATTTCATCCCATTTTCAGTTAATAAGGAAGGATCAAGCTGAAGCACATTGCTTTCAAAGAAGTCCTTATTGATATCAGGATCTAAGTCTGGTTCATCTCCCATTAATTTGGAATACCACTTAAAACAGGCTTCACGATCACAAAGATAAACTGCATTCTCTGCTAAGCACTTCCATATTTGTTTTGCCTGAGGAGCACACAGCCACAGCTGGCCATCCTTCAATAAAAACCTTAGAAAACATAAAAGATTAATTTATTTGGCATTTATCCTGAAATACAACCTATACCACAATTACATATATTGAACTTGTTTCTCAGTTTTTATCTGAGTTCCAAGACAGCCAGGACTAGACAGAGAAAGCCTGTCTTAAAAATCAAAATCAAACTAAAAGAAAGAACAAAGCAGGAAAGAAAACCGTTTGTCTCACACTGGTTACTCTAAAACACCTGATTCTTACTGATCAAATCAGAGGTAAAATATAAAGTGTTTTATTAGCACAAGCTAAAATAAAAGAGGTTCTTTTGCCTCCAGTTGAGCTGCTATTATTCACAGATAAATACTAACATAACCAGCTGGGACTGTAATACTTCTTAAATTCCAAACTTCAATATGGCAAAGGGGCTTGCACCATTTTCTAGTTCTAATAACCCAAAGGGATACAAAACAGGTTATCAATAACTTTGATTCACTGACAGGTCCTTTTACTTAAGTGGTTGAAAAGCATCAACTTTAAACAAACGTCAATATTCTTAAAAGATAGAAGAGTTTTTCTCAAGTTATAATCATTATATAATTCTATTTTCTCCCCCAAAACAAAAGAGCTCAATAAAATTAAGTCAACAATTAAGGGGAGGGAGCGACACAAAAATACTCTCCAGGACCTGTATCAGAGCAACAAATGCAATCAATTTTCAGAAGTACTGATACTTAGCACTGTCTGAATTTTTTTTTTTAAAAAGCTATTTATTCATTTAATGTATAGGAGTACACTGTTGCTGTCTTCAGATAGAGCAGAAGAGGGCATCAGACCCCATTACAGATTGTCGTGAGCCACTATGTGGTTGCTGGAAACTGAACTCAGGACCTCTGAAAGAGCAGTCTGTGCTCGTAACTGCTGAGCCATCTCTCCAGCCCTTTGACTTCTTAAGATGTAACCCCTTTATAAACTTTTGAGCACAAGGGACTTTTCAAAGCTTTAAAGGGATACTCACTAAAAGCTGATATCATGGAGCAAATCGATATGGTTTAATGAAAACATGCATTTTCCTCATCCTTCTTAGAGACAATGTTATTAATAACCTGATTTCAAACTGCCTTTGCCAGACACTGTAGAACAAGGTAGTACAGGACTTAGACTGCATTAGGTCCAAAAGAATTTTTCTCTCAATTGTTTAGTCCCGATGGTACTAATGTAGTATGGGTCTCTGGTTTGTATCAATGTATAAAAATTTGTCCTCTAGGGATGGGGTGAAGAACTCTGGGAAGGAGAACTGGCAGGGGGTAGAGGTCAACATTTGGAATGTAAATAAAATAATCTAAAAAATTGTCCTCTAAAAGTAAACATTTCCAGCATAAACAAATATGAGAACTCTATCCTACAGCTTAAAAAAATGAGATGAATGTTACAATTTGCGCACTAATCTTAAAGCATTCAGCAACAAAGGAAGCTGTGGCAAAGGGAAAAATCAACAAAGACAGCATATTCAGTCAGTATATTCTTGTCAAGAGAGCAATACTAATGATATTAAACAAACCTAAGGAAGTTAAGCCGTTCTTGGACTTCTTGAACATGACTATATCTACTTCCCAGTCTCACAGTTTGTGGGTCATAGTCTTCATTGTCTGCAAATTAAGAAAAATAAATAGATGCATTATATATATATGGATAATCATACCACTGCTGATTTCAACCAAGCAACTTATCAGTTAAAAATCATTGATCTTCTATCACTATACAAAGCAACTGCAAATCTAATACTTGGTACATTGATAATGGTGTTTTCCAACCCATTTAATATCCTAATAAAATATACATTCCTTCTATAAAACCCAAAGGAAATGGTCTGTAAATGTGCTACCAAAATCCTTTTCCTCCTTAATATACTTGGGCTATAATTTCTGGGGAAGAATATTAGAGAAGTGATACTATATCCCCCTGGTATTAACAATCAGAAGGCAGATCATGTCACTCTGTGGCAATCCTCATGATGCTCACTTTGATTACATAGTTGAAACGGTTTGCCCCAGGCTTCTTCACTGTCAAGATGCTATTTTTGCCCCCACTGGTTTTAGCAACCTGCCCTAATAATCTATTCTGCGTTCAATTCTTAACACTTTGGACATAAAGCTTTGAAATAGTCCAATGAAATCCAAACAAAGTTAAGAAATAAGACACTAGCTTTGTAATATGTGGGAAGTGGTGGTGTACACCTTTACTCTCAGCAATGGGGAGAAAGAGGCAGGGCAGGCAGATCTTGGAGTTCAGTTGGTCTATATAGTTGAGTTCCAGGCCAGGGAGGGATACATAGAAAGATCCTGTCTAAAAAAACAAAACACCAAACAAATAAAAGCTGATAATTTTACTGTAAATAGTCCCAACAATTCTCTGACTTGCTAGCAAATAAGGAAGACAACCACTACTGACTTGTATAGTCTTATATAGCAGGTATCCCATGGAGAAAATATATATGATCAATTCATTAATCTTTGAAAATTGGTTGCCAGATAACCAACACAAAATCAGTTCTCATTATTTTAAGTATCAAGTTGTGAGAGCCATTTTAGAATTCAGTATGAAAAATTAAGTTGGGGTTAGAGAACTGGTTCAGTGGGTAAGACTACTTATTGCTTTTGTGGGGGAGCTGGGTTCATTTCCCAACATAACACAGATTAGCTCGTTTGAGTAACTCCATTTCCAGGAGATCTGATGTCCTTTTCTGACCGCTTCATGCACCACACATGTATATGGTGCACATATACATACTAGGAAAACACTCATTCACATATAATAAAATACATCAAAATTAATTAAGTTCATCTGCTAATAAACTTTTTTTTTTTCAAGACAAGTTTTCTTTGTGTAGCCATGGCTGTCCTGAAACTCCCTGTGTAACTAACAGAGA